ATATAAAGTAGTTACTTTTAATTTTGATAGCTAGGTAAAATAAAGGGGATTGTTGACCTGACAAAATAGACAAGGTCTTCCGCTCTCCTGTACAGAGGCTGGGGCTTAGATGATAGCAGGATGGATTCAACTCAATTGCTGCATTGTAGGTTTTTGAAAGCTGAAATCTGAGTCCACTCCCTCTGTTTAAGGTTGTTTTCTTTCTTTCTTAACATAGATGGCTTCCTTCATGCCCCTCTCAAACCACCTATTTATTTTAGTCGGCAGTAAATTAAGCAAAACTGCTCTCAATATTTATGAAGCACTTTGGCAGAACAGCCCACTGGTCTAAATAGTCTCTTGACTGGTAAGTGTGGGCTTAGTTTGGAGGCACAAAGCATGCATTTTAAATCTGTTGAAGTGATAAAATTGCAGTCAATAATAATAATAATAATTCTAACAATAGTAAAAGTGTCACGTTTAAAAGTTTGGTCAGGTGGTAGGGGTTTTCATTGATGTTTTCTGTAGATTGGGTCAGATTTATCTCCATTTATGCTGAACAGTTGTTTTCAGGCAACTTTTTGTTGCAGGTTTAAAAGCAACGGGTGCTGAGAAGTTGTAGAGTCGGGTAATTGTTTAAACCGTCAGTCGGTATCGGTGCCGAGGCGGAATCTTTTTAAGGCTCTGTCGGATTCAGCTCAGCAGGAGACATTGATTGAACGTTCACGCTGTGTGCTTGCTCCGCAGTAATCACCTGCAGCAATTTGTAACACAAGGAAAGATGCTACAAGGAGCTAAGAGGGGAGACAAATGGCACAATGAGCCTCAGGGAGGTGCTGACTGAGCTTGTAGTCCGATAGCGGTTCTAAATGAGGTTTAAAATCACTGGACGTGCGTTTTAGCCAAGATAATACGTCAATTTGTGGCTTAATTACAGCTCTTTCTGCCAGTTCTCCCTGACCCCCCCTCCTCCCTGAGCATCTCTGGAGACCCGGGAGTCTGAGGCAGATATCATCGGATCTGAGCAAATAAAGCTGGATCGCTGAGGAAGAACTAAGCCATTAAATTGAGACTGGCAGTCTGTTCGGTGAGACAAAGAAATGCCTCGTAAAGCTCATTCAAATAGTGCTGACCGACCAGAGCGCTGCGCCTGGGTGAAGAGATTTTAAATGTCTCAGCAGGTGTTCATATTGTCTCAGGCAGGTTGCTTTAGGAAAGACTTCTGAGGAGTCCTGTTTGGATGAGTGTGCTGCAGACCATGCTGGCTCCGTCCTTCCTTTGTCAGCATGCATCCGTGCCTCACAATGAAGTGTCTTTCAAACTACTTTAAATAAATAGGGAAACCCAAACAACTTCAGCTGAACTTTCGCTGAGTTGCTTTCTGCAATATCTTTATCTCACTTTTATAGACGGTTCACTAAATCTATCCTCCTTCTCACTGTCGACAGCGTACTGTGAAGCTTATATTAAATGTCTCATCTATTTTGCTCAGAAAACAGAGCTCTCCTTTTGGTGAGCCTTCAGTCTTTTTTTTATTTTCCTTTTTCTTCTAAGCTATTTTTTTTGTGCATTATAGAAAGCCCCAGTACTCTAAGTTATTGCTTGAACACATGTTGTCCTAATTCTCATGTATCCATTGGCAGATGACAAAAAAAGCTGGTAAGCATCAAAGTTATTCCTAAAGACGTACAGTCACAGTCACACAGTTTGTGCAATGAATCTGTTTGGTTGTTTAAAACAAGATGTCGGCGTAACTTTCCGGGTTCTGCAGTGCATAAGAGAACAGAGGAGCAGAGGTCACGGATTAGCGGACCGCGGTCCAGATCCAAACCCACCTGCTGGCTAATCCGGACCCAACCTGATTTAAAACTTTAATAAATTACCACATGATGTCTGACGACAGTGTCTAACTTCACTTGCGCCGCTTCTCCTGTTAATACGGTAAAGCCCTCCGGATTGTTCTGGAACAGGCAACACGTGATACACATTAGCCAATGAGCTGCTGTCAGTCTGGGTTGCTGCTGCTGCTACTTTTAGACACAGCAGGCAAACCTTCAACAACCTTTCAGTTTGGTATATAGACAATTTCCTGATGCACATATTTTATAAAACACCTGAACTGACAGTTTGTTATTTTTCTTTCTTTTTTTCTGTCTTAATGGGAGCAGTGGGCTTTATGCTGCCCTGCAAGGCTTTAAACCTGGGTTTGAATGGAGACTAAGCCATTCTAAAGCACATATCAAGGAGCTCATTCTGAGCCTGGATCCATATTTATTTTTGATTCTGTTCATGGTGGAGAATCCTGCTTCACAGCAGCAGGTTGAGCCAAACATACTCTAAATGTTCAGGGTCATCTTTGAGCACCATTTCACTTTTCTTTCACCAGTTCACCACAGTTCTTCCAGCAGTCCACACTTTCTCTGCACTCTTTTTCTCATCATCTTCTCCTTCCATCCCATTGTTTGGCTTGCTACAGGTTTGCCTGCTGTGTCTAAAAGTAGCAGCAGCAGCAACCCAGACTGACAGCAGCTCATTGGCTAATTTGGATCACTTGTATCCTGGTGCCGGACGCTACGAAAGGCTTTACCGTATTAACAGGAGAAGCGGTGCAAGTGAAGTTAGACACTACCGTTAGACAACATGCTGTAATTATAAATTATTCAAATCAGGTTCGGTCCGGATTAGCCGATAGGTGGGTCTGGATCTGGACCCCGGTCCACTAATCTGTGACCTCTGATCTGATTCAATCAGCGCTATTTAAATGTATAGTAAATCTCCTATCTAGGTTCTATCTTAGGTCTATAGTAGGTGCTGCTACCAGCAAACAGAAAGACAGGAGGTGATATTTTGCATATGATCCCTACCTATATGTGAAAAAAGAAAAAAAGAAATGGAGGTGAAGTAAATAAATGGAAAATAAAGCAAAAAGGGATGGATGGAGCAGATTACCCACTCCTGCCCCCGACCACCCCCATCCCTCGTTATGCTAACAAAATGTCCTTAACCTGCATGTGTTCAGGTAGAGCCATTGATTATGTTTCAGAGATGAAGTTAAGGATCCTCGACTAAACTCAACCAAGTAGCATAACAGCGTCAGCTCTTCCAAAACACTAAAAATGTTATTTTTTCCCTCTTAAGCTGCAGTTATCCCTCTCTTTCTATTTCTATGGTTACTTACATGCCTGTGTGAAGATCTCAGTGTGTACTGTAAGCTCCCCTATGAGTTTTATAATCAGAAATGTGCCACAGGATGTGGAGCTAATAGCCAGCCAGAGCAGTGAGTAGTAGGATCATTATAACCATTTCCCAGGGTTTTTACTCTGCTCCATTTGCTATTTCCTTTATGGCTGAACTAATAACATTCCTCCGACCCCACCCCAACTGCGATCAGGATTTGTTCTACGTGGCTAAATTGAACTGTAGGGGGAGAAAAGTCACTAGAAATTCAGAAAAATGAATTGACCCATCATGAGCTTTCATATTTTGCTTCATTTGCTCAAAGATGGAGTTTCCTCAACACTTTCGAACATTAAAGGGATTTCTTCTTCCACTGAAAACCTGGTGTTATAAAATTAAAGGCTGATGTGACTTTATTATTGAATCAAAATAAGCCTCTGGACTATTGTGTGTTCTGTGAATTCACTCCCAAATGCCAACGAGTAATGGCAACAAATTAAGGTGGGATCATGGTGAAACGGTTAACTCTGCAAACATGGAATACATTCGCAACTTTTATTCAAAATATACAATATGTCATCTGCTGACGTGGCAGATTCGTCGATGTTATTAATTATAGGAATTGTTTTGGTTACGGAGATTACATTTCTGGAAATCCAGAATGGTGTCACTGTGTGATACCATTAGTCGCAAATGTTGTTTTCTTGCAGTTTAAATAAAGGTCATCTACTAGAATTGATGATGTGCTTTGAAGCAACATATGTCATTTGTATTTTTTGTTATGAAACAGCGACCATATGGCCAGGCTCGGACTGGTAATCTGTGATAGCGGGCATTAGCCCGGTGGGCCGGTCCTAATTTCAGCGTGCAAGGGCCGGCCCTCCTTAAATCATAGTGGCTTCAACATTTACTCTATGGCCGAAGAACCTTCCTGTGACAGTAAATAACTCAAGGAGCTCAAGAAGTAATGCAATGTTAACTACCTAAATGATGCATGCAGTATATATAGCCCTTCCATGTCATGCACATCCGTGTGACAGGTGGCATATTGTGTAATTTTCTATTTCTTCAAACTGTAAATCCTTGCAATAAACAAAATTATGGTCCATAAGTGGGCCGATGTAGATGGAAAAATGCCAGGACCCGAAAATCGTTCCCAATCCCGAGCCTGCAAATGGCACAACCCCAGGTTTTATACATTCCTAAGAACAAAAACAGCAAAGCATATTGATCCTGTGGCTCTTTGGATGGCTGCATATGCTAATGCTAACAGAAAATAATCAGTATAGCAGTTTAAAGTTTCTCATTTTAGGGTACTTAATTTCTTTACCCCTAAATAAATAAATAAAAACACTGTTTATTTTGCTTATGCCTTTAAAATTACTTGACCTCGGTTATTTTTTTCCCCCTTGAACCCCAGTGGGCCTCAGCAGATGGCCGCTCACACTGAGCCTGGTTCTGCTGGAGGTTTCTTCCTGTTAAAAGGGAGTTTTTCCTCTCCACAGTCGCTACAGGCATGCTTAGAGTGAGGCATTGCCTTCCAGTCAATGAGTCGATGCAATCAACTGGTTTTCCTTAGATAGAAAAATTTGAAGAGATTTGATTGTATGATCTGGTGAACTGTAAAGCTCCCTGAGATGAAATGTGTTGTGAATTGGTGCTAAATAAATAAACTGAATTGAATTATTATTTTTCTTTTTAAAACAGAAGGTGACTGAAGTAGGGGACAACTAAAACATGCCTCATAGTCACATTTGGGAGTTTAAACGTATTTTTTTGTAACTCTTAAATTTCTCCTATGATACTCATACCTGCCTTCCTCTTTTCTTCTTTTTCCCTCCAAGCATCAAGATGGTTCTGATGTGGACCAGCGGCGACACCTTTAAAACGGGCTACTTCCTGCTCACAGAGGCTCCCGTGCAGTTCTGGACATGCGGCCTGCTGCAGGTCTTTGTGGACGTCGCCATCCTCTTCCAGGTTTACTACTACAGCCGTTACCCGCAGAAACCGGTGTCCCACACCGTCTCCCTCACCACCAGTGCCAAAGTTCTTTAGGAGCCGCCACACATCATCAGGAAACTCAGAGAGTCTAAAGATAGAGGAATACCAAAGGACCTGATCAAGCAAGCTGCTCAAATGCGAAGACAAACACACTTAAATATGGCTTCTACGCCTCGGAGGTTCTTAAGGGACGCCTGATTCACTCAAAATCTATTGTATTTTTGAAGCTATAGACTTCCTCTCGATGTGCTGAAATGCATGCACCCTCTAATGCACAACCAATCAGCCTGCGCATGTGGAGGAACACTCTTCATACCCATATGTAAACTTCACACACGTTCGCACTGAGCTCAGACCAGTTTCTGTCGTCCACATTGTGATGAATGTTGCATCGAGCCTCTGCCTTAATTTTCCAATCACTCATGACCCGCTGCTACCAGCTACTGAGTATTTGTAATGGATTCACAGTGCAAAAAAAAACCTGTAAAGATCCGTGTTACTGAATGTACAAACAGGCATAGTGTTGAAGATGGAGCTATGCTTTGTTGGTTAAGTCTTCAAGGTCATCGCTTTTTTTCATCTAAAACAATAATCTGGAAGTTTTCAGGTCCACAGGGAAACGTCTTGTACTCCTGAAACTGTTACATCACTTAGAAACATTAGTGGCCTTTAGACAGATTAGAAAATCCAGCTCCCTCTGACTTTATTCCACCTGTTTTCTTGTTTTTTTTTATATCAGCCACTGACCACTTTTTGATTGTATTATTGTTTCTTTTCTTTTTCCACTGAAAGTCCGTCTTCATTCCTCTGCTGGTTTGGGAAATCAAAAGCTGGGTTGTTTATGAAAGCACAAAAAAAAGATTGGTTCAGTCATTTTGGTTACTAATGATTTGTTTTTTTTTTATGCTTAGAAGTGTTTCCTGTTAAAAAAAAAAGTTCACCTCTTAATGGGACTAATCGACAGGTAAACGCGTACCTGATTCATTAGTGTGGTAAGCTGCCAAAATGCTATCAAGCCTTAAATGAACAGACTAATGGCATCAGCTTTGGTGAAAATGTAACATGGTCAAAGTTTTCTCATAGGTTTGGGCATCAAGAAGGTATGTCGATTGGAACCGTTTTTAACCTTTAAACTCTCCGGGAATCATTTAAACTTTCTTAGTTTCGATGCTATAAAAAGTAGAAGCTGCCTAATATCAGCGCAGAGGAATGGACAGCAGTGTGTGTCCATCTGTTTGTTCTGTGGCATTAAAAAGTGTGGCTTAATGTTAAATAAGGAAATGACCAGTCGGCTACGTACGACACTAGCAATGGGATTATATTGGCGTAATTAATCACCTTCTAAGTCAGGATGGAGCCTCATCTTTGACCTGCTCCACTAGTGTTTTAAGGTAGATTTTCCCATAGGGAATTTGTTCCTCCTCTAAATTCGTAGAGCATCTTCTCCAGGTAGAGCACAGCTTTTTCATATTTTCTGACTTTATATCATACCAGATACACGCCTTTTTCTATGCGTTCTGAATAGAATGAAAATTTTTTTAGATTATGCTGAAATTTCAAGCTTAAATTCATCTGCTGTCTTATTTTAGTTCATTTGGTTTCTCTTTCATGTGATGAAACCCACTAATTGGATGATGAAGTATGAAATCTGATCGTTCCTCTGTCTACAAAAGTAAATATATTGGATATGTTGGTAAAGATCATCCTGGTCATCCAGGTCATAGTCATTCCAAAAAAAGTTCAAAACAATCCACTGGAGTTTGTGTCCAAGTTTGAAGACGTTTCACTTTCCATCCAGGAAGCAAAACATCTTCAAACTTGGAAACAACAGTGGATTGTTTTGAACTTTTTTGGTAGATGTTGTGGATATAAACTCTGAAACCTTCCTAAAACCATGCCACGGTAAGAATCCAGTCAATAAAATACTTTGATATAACATAAATATGTGACATTTATGTAAAGATAGATGTTCAAGTAATTAAATTTCATTTAAAAGCTCAGACTATATCTAAAAAATAAAAACTTTTATGATTCTTCTACTTGAAAGATTCAGAATCGAGAATCGATACGATCTGGATTTGAAACAGCGAATCTGAACAGGAATTGTTCAAATTCAAACGATGCGCATCCCTATTCCTTTATAGGTGTTATTAGACAGAACCTGCAGAGAGGGGTTTTAACATTTAAAATGCATTTGTTTCAGATCATCTCATCATTTTTATAAACAAGCTCAGTAAATACAAACAGTAGGAAAACTTTAAATTATGCTTTCATTCATTAAGGGAATGAAAGCGATCCAAACCAGCACACATTACTTGAATAGAACCTGTTTGACACGCAGAAGGCTTAAAGCAACACATCAGACCCCTGGTGTCAAGGAAATTCAGAACCAAGAGGTAAATGAATTCAAGTGACATCAGTCGGTTATTCTAGTACGGCGTTAAACAACAGCTGCAGAGGATGGGAGCCCTTCACAGGAGAGACCACACAATCAAAATTACTCCAGGAGGGCACGAAACAACGCTGAACTGCATCTAAAGCAGCACAGACTTCTCTTTCCTTAAGGTCACTTTTTTGATTCTCCGGGAAAATGGTAGTTTCAAGGCCAAACCCACCACTTGCCAAAATAAAAACAAAAGCCAGATATGGCTCACAGGCATGTGCATGATCCTCAAAACCTTTTTTTTTTTTCTTTTTTGTTGATGTTCTGTGGACTAAAAAAACAACTTTTTAGAAGGACTGCAGTCAGTAACAGACAAAGATCCTCATACCAAGAGTCAAACATGGTGGCGGCAGTGTGATGTTCTGGAGTTTTTCCCGAAAATCTGAAGAAATAACCTCAAAGATTTTTAAGATGGAGATGGTCTAGTCAAAGTCTCAATTTTAAAGGGCTTTAGTGGGTCCTGAAGTAGACCGTTCCTGCTCACTAACCCCCTACCTACCTGTACTACCAGGCTGCGACAGAAAGGGGGTCAACAGGAAACAGCAGTGAGGTTCAGGAGGCATTTACAATATACATATAACCATTTTTTCTACTTTTTATAATTACATTATCCTTTTTATGCTTTTTTTTTTTGATGAACTGAACATAAGCAAAGCCAGAAGGAATATGTATTGGAGAAATATTTACATGTTAACTTAAATACATCATTCTTTGGCATTTTTTTTCTTTTTTTTTAAGAACTGCTAGATTTTTTTTTATTCTGGTATTTAATAATTTCAGGGGTTTTTTAATAACTTGTTTTCTCATTGTGATCTGAAAACACTTTTAGAATATTGAAGTATTTCTGGGAATTAAGAGTAAGGAAAAAAACTGATGCCATAAAAAATAAGAATATTTTTCCTGTTGTGTAATCAGTTATAGTTTCTGTATCCTAATTTTTGCCTTGTATTTGACTCTTTTCTAAAAGCCATGTGACAAACTGAAAGTGTTTTGTTTCGTGTGGCGAGGAAGAAAAATGTGTTACTGGAGAAAATGAAGCACAGAATTTGTGTTGCTTGTGACGCTTCCCTATTTTAAACAGGGCGTGTCGAATGAAAGATATAACTTTCAGAATCTTCTACTGTGTCGGGTTTTGTTACTTCTGCCATTGTGTCATTTGAATTATTTTGCCAATTGTTAATAATCAGCAAAGTATTTGTGTTAGAAATCTCAGTGTTGTTCGTTTCTCTGATTGGTCAAACAATTATTTGCCAAATCGTTTAAAAAGTAGGTCAGGTTCCAGCAGTGGCGGTTCTAGACCAAATGTACCAGGGGGCCAGGAGGGGGCCTCCGTGTTTTCATGGGGGCACAGAAAAGCATGAAACAGAAATACAGGCCAAGGGATTCAAACATATTAAGAGAGCTGCATAAATTCAAATTTCCATTCAATTAGGTTTAATAAAATGATATGTCTTTCCAACTGAAAATATTTATTTTGGGCTTGAAAATGTTCATTTGGATTATCATAAAAATCAAAATCCTGTATCTAAAAGACCAAATAAAGCTAATATTTGGAATATTAGATCAATATACATTCATAATTTAGGAATTTTACATATCTCTAACTTAATTTAAGTGAAAATTACAGTTTATAAAGTCAGAATTGGAACAAAAAAATTGATAAATTAGCTGTAAAAATTAGAATATTTGTTATTTGTTTAAAAAAACTGGGATCCTATCTCAATGGCACTGAAGCTATCACCTTATTGTTTTTAAATAATTGATAAAACAGAATTTTTTTAAGAAAAAAGTGAAAAAGATCCAAAGGACCTATCAGTAACCATGTCTGTTCCAGTGCATATAATCATAAGAATTTCTTTTAGTATTATGTCTTCAGAACAGGGGCCAGGACATGATCTACAGGGGCCCTGGACCCCGTTGGCCCCTGTCTAGACCAGCCCATGAGTTCCAGTCAGTTGGAGTCTCTCCATGTATCTGGTGTGAAATCATGTGGTGTTCTTCATTAGTGCAGACAGTGCGTCTGCATAGAGTATTACGAACTTAAATAATGTTTAGATTTTGGACATTTAGTTGCTCTTGCAAATGGAACATAGTCAGTCTCAGAGATTATTAGGCTACTTTTTCTTTGAGGGTATCTCTCTCTGTACTCAGAAGTGTGAATTTCATGAGGTACGAGCCAAGAATACACACAGAAGTTTGAGATCCAATGAAAAAAATTCCAAGCTTCTCTGAACTTTCCAACATGGCAACACTAAAGATTTATTAATTAGCCATACCTAAAGTAGCTAGCACCACAATGATTACCGTATTACTTGGTTTCTTTTTTTCTTTCGCAGACACATCAAATTAGATCACTAGCTAGAAAATTATCATGAGCTTCGCAGCTATATTGGGATAAAGTCACCTAGCTTTACCACAGTTATTGTAATTATGATTTATTTTCATTTTTTTTTACAACTATAAATTGGATAATAAGATGACAAAGTTTGACATAGTTTTTCTAATATTGCGTTAAACTTAGCATAGATTTTACACAAATGAAGAGAAGGAAACATTAAAGCTACAGTGTGTAACTTTTAGCGACATCTAGCGGTCAGACTGCAGCAACATGAACATCCCCCCCCCACCGCTTC